GACCCACGGGTGACCCGTGAAATTTATCTTCAAAACTAATTTCTGTTTACTTTAAAATGACACAGTATTATTAAGAAATATCACAAGTGGAACTGATTTTTTTTTTTTCAACTCAAAATTGTCTGGGAGCCATATGCCGTCACCGGAAGAGCCATAGGTTCCCGACCGCTGCTCTAGTGTGTTGTCACTATTCATTGACGGTGTTCAGAACTTTGGACTACCGTCCAGGGTGAGATGTGATCATGGACTGGAAAACACAGGTGTTGCCCGTTTCATGCTAGACATAGTGTAATTACTGGCAGGTCAGTGCACAACCAAATAATTGAGAGATTATGGGCAGAGGTAAATCGAGTAGTCTCATTTCATTTTGTTAATCTTTTCAACTTTATGGAGGAGCACGGTGTATTAGATTCACTTAATGAGCTCCATATATTTTGTCTTCACTATATTTATTTGCCACGGGTTCAAAGGGCTGCCACTGAGTTTCAGAACCAGTGGAATAACCATGGTCTTTCAACAGAACGGGGACAAACTCCTCTTCAGCTGTGGCAAAGAGGCATAGTCAACAATGCAGGAACGCATAACCCAAGTATGAATGGTATTTATGATATACAGTAGACAGTGGCTTTGGTGTTGATGATAACAGACCACTCCCAGAGTTACAGACTAACAATGTTGTTGTTGTTCCATCTATTAACCTTACCATCAGTGACCCAACAATGGATATACTTCAGCAGACTTTTGATCCATTTGAAGATGATGGGAATCATGGTATATATTTGTTTTGCAACCTTGTGTGAAGAGAGGCATACCTAAAATCATAGAACCAAATGGCGTACCAAAAAGAAACAAAACCCCCCTCAACAGATAGGCCTATTTAAGAGCACATTCACATCAATAGAAAAGGTCCACACAGGATATGTACTGCCTTTAGTAGTGTAAAGCAAAGCACACCGACAATCTATTTCACAGACACTTAAACATATTGTCAGTTTTAAAATACACTGCTTAAAAAGAAAAAGCGTTTATTTCAATGGAGCAATGGGAAAAAAGTTCAGCTTTTGTCCTCTTCTGTTCTATGGTGTGCTGATTTTGTGTTGCTTCTTGTGCTCCTACTGACTTCTCACATATTCCACTAATGCTGTATCATTGTATTTGACAAAGGACATCACATGTTAAAATAATTAATACTTCAGTCAATTTATTAAGTTCTCCAGAGCCAAAAGCTTTAATAAAATGTGGTTTCAATTCACACGTGTTTCACTACTTTTGGTAACAATTTCTTTGAACATTTAAAGTAAGACACATGGCTGGAAATGTTAAACATGGAGGTTTGAGCTCACTAATGCACATAAAGGTCTTAACATCCTATACACAGCAAGGATCCATTAATTGGAAGAAAACTGCAACCATGAACTTAAACAGTAACCTAACAATTGTACATCTTTATAAAACCTTTTTTTTTAAAACTTTGATTGCAAAATGATTGGCAACCTAATCCTGGCTAAAAATACAGAGCCAAGTTCCAAAGCCAATTGAAGTTTACTCAATAATAAAGTTGAATTTGCCTAAAGGTTTACATTTCAATTAAAAAGGCACAAAACGGAGCAACCGTTTAGTTCACATCATACCAGTTGAATTACATCCTTTCATAATAATACATTTTAACCATTCAACATGCCTGCCAGTAGCTTTGCCGATATCTGTGTTGATAGGTAATAGATTAAGAGCGGTGAATCATAGAAACAGGAAGCGCTCAAACGTTTGTCTGAGTGTATCTAATTTAGCAGTGATTGCATGTCAGCCACAGCTTGTTACAAAAAACATGACTGATAGTGTGTTTAACAAACTTAAACTAGCTTTATTAAATGTCAGGTCTTTAGCAGGAAAAACATTTTTAATCAATGATTTTATCACTGAGCACAATCTCGATTTTATGTTTTTAACAGAAACTTGGATTGAACAAAATAACAGTGCAGCTGTTCTTATCGAATCAACCCCTCCCAACTTCAGTTTTATGAGTCAGGAAAGAATGCATAAGAAAGGGGGGTGGAGTTGCTATTCTGTTCAATGATGCCCTTCAATGCAGGAAGACATCTTATGGAAACTTTGATTCTTTTGAATATGTGGCCCTCCGGCTGAAATGCTCCTCTCGAGCTCTGTTCCTAAATATCTATAGACCACCCAAATACTGTGCAAGCTTTTTTGATGACTTTACTGAACTGCTGTCTATAGTGTGTATTGACTTTGACCGTCTAGTCATTGTTGGTGATTTTAACATCCATGTTGACAACCCCCAGGACAGAGGGGCTAAAGAACTGTTTTGTGTTCTTGATAGCTATGGACTGACTCAGCATGTGACGGAGCCCACGCACAATAAGGGGCACACTCTGGACTTAATTATCTCAAAGGGTCTGAATATCTCTAAGGTTGTGGTGACTGATGTTGCACTCTCTGACCATTCCTGTGTTTTCTTTGAGAGCTCTATTTCTGTTCACAAAAATGTTCAAAAAGAGGTAACCACAAAGCGATATTTAACTGAAAACACTAGGGAAATGTTTACTCAGAATTTCTCTTCCACACTTGCCCCTGCCAACATCTCAGTAAATGAGCTAGTAGATCATTTTAATTCAAAAATTAAAAATGTTATAGATGCCATTGCTCCAACTAAGGTAAAGGAAGTGTCTGGCAAGAAAATATCTCCATGGAGAAAGGCCATGACCGTGAAAACAGAAAAAAGAGAATGTCGAAAAGCTGAACGCAGGTGGCGAAAAACAAATCTCCAGGTTCACTTTGAAATCTATAAAGAGAGACTTGGCCTCTATAATTTGGAATTGAAAAACGCACGACAATCGTTCTTCTCTGACATCATTACCAAAAACAAAAACAACGCACGTGCCTTGTTTGCTACCGTCGACAGACTAACTAACCCCCCAGTGTCAGTAGCCTCTGAATTTCTATCCACCAGGGCGTGCAATGATTTTGCCTCCTTTTTCACTGACAAAATTCAGAAAATCAGACAAGCAGTCAGTGCCTCTGCATCAGGAACAGTAAATGTGTTGTCCCTATCTCCACTTAACATCAATTCAGACATCATGACACAATTCCATCAGATTAATGATAAAAACCTAGAGGACATTATTCAACTTCTGAAATCCTCCTCCTGCTGCCTTGATATTATTCCAACAGGATTTTTCAAAGATGTTTTGCCTTGCATGGCCTCAGATCTACTTCATATAGTAAACAAATCTCTTCACTCAGGTATTTTTCCACAGGCCCTGAAAACTGCAGTCATTAAACCGCTCTTAAAAAAGAATAATCTAGATGCTTCAGTAATGAACAATTACAGGCCCATATCAAACCTCCCATTTCTAGGTAAAATCATTGAAAAAGTTGTTTTTCAACAGTTGAGTAATTTCTTGCATTTAAATGACTGTTTTGATGTGTTCCAGTCAGGCTTTCGTCCAAACCACAGCACTGAGACTGCTCTTGTAAAGGTCTTTAATGACATCCACTTAAACACAGACAGTGGCAGAACTTCAGTGTTAGTATTATTAGATCTCAGTGCTGCGTTTGACACTGTTGACCACAGCATATTACTAGACCGACTGGAGAACTGGGTGGGACTTTCGGAAACAGTTCTGAATTGGTTTGAATCCTACTTAAAGGACAGAAACAACTTTGTTTCTATAGGTAAATACACATCTGAGTTGACAAATATGACATGTGGGGTTCCTCAAGGCTCCATCTTGGGGCCTCTTCTCTTTAACATCTACATGCTACCACTGGCTCAGATAATGAAGAACAACAAAATAAGTTACCATAGCTATGCAGATGACACACAAATTTACGTAACAATTTCACCAGGAGACTATGCTCCAATTCAAACACTGAGTAAGTGCATTGAACAAATCAATGACTGGATGTGTCAGAACTTTCTCCAATTAAACAAAGATAAAACTGAGGTAATGGTTTTTGGAGCCAAGGCAGAACGTATAAAAGTTAGCGCTGAGCTTCAGTGTGCAATGTTCAAAACAACAGATAAAGCCAGAAATCTAGGTGTAGTCATGGACTCTGACCTGAGTTTCAACAGTCACATTAAAACTGTTACTAAATCAGCCTACTATCACCTAAAGAATATATCTAGGATTAAAAGACTAATGTCACAGCAGGATTTGGAAAAACTTGTCCATGCTTTTATCTTCAGTAGACTGGACTACTGCAATGGTGTCTTCACAGGTCTCACTAAAAAATCTATTAGGAAGCTGCAGCTAATTCAGAACGCTGCTGCTCGAGTCCTCACTAACACTAAGAAAGTGGATCACATCACTCCTGTTCTGAAGTCTTTACACTGGCTTCCTGTGTGTCACAGAATAGATTTCAAAATACTGCTGCTGGTTTATAAAGCACTGAATGGTTTAGGCCCAAAATACATTTCTGACCTCCTGCTAAATTATGAACCATCCAGATCTCTCAGGTCTTCAGGGACTGGTCAGCTTTCTGTCCCCAGAGTCAGAACTAAACATGGTAAAGCAGCGTTCAGTTATTATGCTCCAAATATCTGGAACAAACTCCCAGAAACCTGCAGGTCCGCTGCAACTCTGACTACTTTCAAATCCAGGCTGAAGACTTTTCTTTTTGTCGCTGCTTTTAATTGAACTATTCATATCTTAGACTGCACTGTAACTTTTATCCATGTACTTTTTTCTTTTAATGTTTAATTGACAGCACTGTAACTTTTATCCATGTATTTTTTTCTTTTAATGTTTATTTTATTAGCTTTTCTTTTTAATGACTGATTTTAAATGCCATTTTCTTAATCTCTTTCATTTTTTGTAAAGCACTTTGAATCGCCTTGTGTTGAAAAGTGCTATATAAATAAACTTGCCTTGCCTTGCCTTGCCTTGCCTTGCCTTGCCTTGCCTTGCCTTGCCTTGCCTTGCCTTGCCTTTATTGAACTTTCTCAAAATCTGAACTGTACTTTAAAAGATGTTGGCACCTTAATGTTTTAAGAAATGGGTATTTTCCCAGCAAAACACTGTGGAATGATATCCACAATAAAAACGTGTAGTAACTATTTGGGATTTTTTGAACTACAATGTATTTATTTGAGTGTGAACTTGACCTTTGAACAGAATACTGAGATGGAGGCCTGCCCATGAATTAAGCTATGCCGAAACCCTGGGTATTGCCCAGTGCACAGTCCATATTTTCCTGGAAGTCTATGTAAGAGCTGTGCAGTGGCAACTTCAAACAGTTGATGCAGGTGTTTGCAATGGGAAGTTTAGAAGTGGTTCCTGAGTCATAATTTTGGTGAAGAAATTCAATTGAAGGTGGTGGATCAAAGTCAATTGGTGGAACAGTATTGGCTCCAGTGGCAAAGGCGAGAATTGTCCTCAGCTTCTGTGTTCCCTCTTGAGCTAGAGAAAAGTCAATACATCGGAAATTAGAAAGAACACAAACAAACAAAAAAACCACTGCACTTAACTGATACGTCAAGATGCAGTGCATTGTTCATTACAAGCGAGAAGATATTTCAGTTCATACAAGAAACGCTTTAAACAAATATACATTAACCTTCTGCATCTGTAAGGTAGTCTCTCCAGAAAGGAACAACAACTTATTCAGCACTCCTTCTATTGCTGCCAACTGTAGATAGGCGGATGGTGAAGAGGCTGTCAAGCAGGTCTGCTGTGAGGTTTGTAGGAGACCAGCATAGAAGGGGGTGAAAACTCTCCGGGTGAGCTTGGATTTTGTCCAGCACACCAAGTGTTCTCAGTCCATCCCGAAATCTGAGTAAAAATCACACTTGCTTTTTAAAGTGTTTTGATTGGCGACTTAAGTTTGAACTAAGAAGCTTTTACATCTTCACATGTAGTCCTTTTTAAACGTCATGGCAAGGAAAAATGACTTGCTTAGATGCTGTTCAAACAGGAGAAAAATACATGTGTGTATGTACGCGTGCGGGGAGGGTTTACTAGACCCTCCAGAAAAATGCAATTCTGTGATCGCAGAATTTACCGCATAATCCCCGCATTTTTCCACACAAAGTTGAGAAAAAAAAAAGTTAACTCGTCTTGACGTGAAGTAGTGATGATGATGATGATGATGTAGATTACGTGACGTCATCAGCTCGTGCATCACAGAAGGTAAACAACACCGTAGTTAGATTACGTTCACTACGTGTGGAACTCACACGAGAGAGAAAACACCAAGATGAAAACATCTAATCCATCTCATTTACCGACGAACATTTCTGCTAAAGACCGGGCAAAGCAGTTCCCCGATGTCTTGCACAAAAGTGGGGGGAAACTATTCTGCACCCCGTGCAACTGTGTGTTGGAGCATAAGAGAACATCGACGGTGACGAGCCACTTTGATTCATTCAAACATTTGAAAATGCTTTCTGCTGCTGCGGACAAGAAAGCCAAACAACTCACGTTCACCGAGGCATCAACCTCCAAAACCCTTTCGAGGGCTACAAGAAGCCTACAAGATTGAAGCTGGTCAGATAACGAACGAGTAAATGAAAACAGAATGGGGCGGAGAAGTGTGTGTGTGTGTGTGTGTGTGTGTGTGTGTGTGTGTGTGTGTGTGTGTGTGTGTGTGTGTGTGTGTGTGTGTGGTGTGTGTGTGTGTGTGTGTGTGTGAGTGTGTGTGTGTGTGTGTGTGTGTGATTAAAATAGCCCAATTGCTTTTACAATAAATAAACATTGAATGTGTTTAATTGAATAGTAAAGGGGTTTAACGTTAGTGGCAGGTTGTGTGTGAGAGAGAATAAATAAATAGCCCAATATTTAAAAAAAAAGATTTAGCATATTTTGCAACTTCCCACAATTTCACCGCATAAAATCACATAAAAACCCTGCATGTTTAATCGCATAATCAAGGGTTTTTGCCCGCGTTTTTCTGGAGGGTCTAGTTTACAGTATTTTTGCTCCAACACACAACCCAAACCCACAACTACTTTGTACAACAACTTTTTAAATGGCTAGAAGCGTTCGCACCACAACCACCTGGCATTTAGTTTTAGCCTGGCTCGAAGCGTTCGCACCACAACCACCTGGCATTTAGTTTTAGCCTATGTGACACGATGATGTAACATAATACTGTCATGTGGCTTATATACGGTGCGGTTTAGTCGGGAAATTACTGCATACACTTCAACAGAAATGGCCGACAGAAAACCCTGAACACAATGCAATCTTCATGGGTTTCAATTCCTTATTGGAGAGGCAAAAAACTGAGGATAAAAATGTACCTCTCAAAAGGACCATGCACTCTGTGTATCACTTGGAACATCAGGATGTCATCTACAAGCAGATTCTTGTCTTCCAACCTCCGCAGCGGCCTCACGCAGCCAGCATTGGCCAAATACTCCTCAAGTGGTTCCGTTGTTGCTAGCAGATCTTCCAATGATTTACCCTCCGTGACCTTCCAATACATACAAAAAAACAACATTTGAAAGCGCCAACATTTCAACATATTCCCCTCTGCACTAGCTACTAGTGTAGAAACAGACACACTTACAGCACAACATAGTCTAAAACTGAGGAAAATAAATTACCCTCTTAATTTTTTCGTGCAGGTCAATATCCGCAACATCTTCCAACACTGGCTTAGCCAATTCTGGGCCATCAACAAGGCAAGAGAAGAGAGTTGGGGACAGAAAGCCTGCGGGAGAACCGCCATTGCTTACTGCAATGGCCCTGCCTGCAATAAAGTACCGGTCCTCTCTCAAGGCTAGAAGAAATGAAAATTATTATATATTTGACAATGCATGCGTATAAAGACTTGAAAAATGCCTGTAAGATCATATAAAACAGTGATATACATGTAATAAATGGTTATCTGGAGTTTATCATATGAGATTACAATCAATACATACCAGTACTGTCAAAGGCCAAGTTCAGTTTGCCTTCTTCTCCCTCAAACATCGGAGATTTGGGCAAAGCTTCCATTAGAAGTCTTAGAAACTCTCTTCTTGGTCCACCCAAGTCCACAGCCTCTTCAGGTACTCCCATATCATCAGAAAACCTGACAGAAATAGTGTGACATGGATCGTATGTCCCTCGTTTAAAACCCCTGATGGCTCCATCCAGGACTGTGGATCGGTTGATGTTGAACTTGCATTTCTTCTGATGATTTATTTTTGTTGCAAGATCTTGCAAAATATCTCTCACCGGCACCAAACATCCCGTAGCCATCCTGGAACTAGCAAGATAAATAAAAGTTAGGGCACACACACTAGTTTTAAGCAAGTGGCATTATGTGTGTGTGTTGACCAGTGTTTTTGCATGCCCTCCGAGATCTTTTTTGAACTAACCTTTCACTCTGCAGGCTTGCTAGTATAGCCTGGTTCAATTCCTCATCAGAAGACTCGTCAGACAATGCAGACATTATTGTAAGGTAGCTATCATAGATTGCTGATTGGTGGTGTGTTGAGGTAGAGCAGGGGTGGGGAAACTCCGGCCCCCGGGCCGTATACGGCCCGCGAGACCATTTGGTGCGGCCCTCGAGGTAATTTATAAACACGCAAAAAAGAAAAAAATTAAAGAAATCTAGACCGCAAAAACATTAAACAAGCGAGTGACTGTTTTTCCTGGCCAAGGTCAGGGTCCTTGAACACAACACGAGCCTAACGTGTCATCACGTGGTATATATCTTCTTGTCTGACAGGGGTGCAGTTCTGACGGAGAGCACCAGAACGCCGCTCCGGCCAAAAATTGCAGTACCCATAAGGAGCCGTACACATGCTGCAGTTTTTGCGTGGCTGTGTCTTTAGTTGAAAGGCCAGTGGCGATCTGCTCATCTGTCATACTGATCATACAGTCAATAACTTTGTTGTTATTAGCATCTGGTTAGCTAGCTATGCTAACGAATATAAGAAGCTTTTTCTACAACCAGTGAGGTAAAGGCACATCTTTATATGATCATTATAGTTATAAAAAAACAAGAGAATAAAGTAAAGAGGTATAAAATACTATATGACAGTAAAAAAAGTTGTTATTAATAAACAAGAATACAGTTTGAAAGGAGAGTGATTTGTAAAATATCCATAAAGAAAAATAAATCTGCTTCCAGTTCTGTTTCATCTGGGTGTTGAGAGATGTATCCATAGATCTCCTAATGTTGCTCTCAAAGTGCACCAGATTGATGCTTTTAACTTCAACATTTAAAAACAAATCTTCCCGGGGGAGCATGCCCCCGGTCCCCCCTAGAGGAGGTGAGGTCCCCCCCCCCCACTTAAATCATGTCCACATGGATAGGAAACTAAATACATTTGCACACATCTTGTGTCCATATCTTTCTGTTTGGGTGGTCATGCTACAACCGTGCACGTGCATGCATGCGCGAGTCATGGTGAGATATCTGGATTAAGAGGTTGCTTTTTCTTTGCACAGAATGAAAGAAAGGCCAAATGAATGGGCTGTGATTTTTGTTTTTTTAAGCAGAGGTCAATCATTTGTACGGCCCTCGGAGGATGTTGAAAAAATTGAAATGGCCCTTGAGAGGAAAAAGGTTCCCCACCCCTGAGGTAGAGGGTAACACAGGACAATGGCTTGCTGGAGTGCTGCCCGGAGCTGGATCAACAGAAGTTGTTCCTCCAAATGATGATGTAGAAGGCTGACTGCTGGAAGGGTAGCTTTCCAGTGAGCATACTGGCAGTTGAGTAGAATAACTGCTCGCGGATGTGTTGCTGTGGTAGGGTGAGATACTGCTTTGGTAGGTCAAGGCAGGAGTTTGAGTGAATGACGCTCCACACCCAAGTGATGAGGCAAAAGGTTGAACTGCAGAAGTACAGTTTGGTGGGGAGGCAGTCATTGGACTGTTGAAACTGTCTGAAGATGCATTTGACTGTCTATCTCGTGGTCGAAATGAGGAGCGCAGCTGCCTTGCTGAACCAGTGTTTTCCGCACAATTGTTGTCCTCACTGCTATAGCCTGTAACCTCATCCTTGGAAAGACATAAAAATAAATTTCAGATATACTACATTTCAACTGTACACTGAAGAGTATCTGGAAACACTTGGATTAATGATTATATTGCTAACAATTACTTTTACTGTTGTTAGAAATTAAAATCAATGTTGATATGGCGTAATTTGAATTAAATACACTATTTAATTTAAATCAGTTTTATTCTGAAAAACCGGAAGTTCACTAACTATTAACTTAATACTTTTATTCTGAAAATTATTCACTTCCGGTTAGCATGCGGCAAAATGCTGCATTTTCAAACCGTGAATTAAAGGTGAAATTACATGTGATGTTGCACACTGGGTTTAGCACTCATTTATTACCGCTGAATAACGTTTATTAGGGAATGTTTAAATAACCACAGACACCAGAATTATATAATTTAACAACAGAAAAAGGCAGAAATTGCATTGGACCCGCCCCCGACGACGCCGGCCAATAGGAAAAGACCTCCGATGACAACAGGAAGAGCAAGCCAATAATTGACCTCTTCCACCTGCTGACTTGGACTGACCGGGCGGATGAGGAGAGTGCCTCCACTCGCACATTTCATTTGTACACCACCGCATCTTTTGTGTAATTAAATGCTGTTAACTTTTATAAGCTTCCCTTGACTCTTTTCAGTCTCTCCTGCCTTCGGGGTTCTAGAATACACTAACACTGTCCATGCTTTAAAAGTGACATCTCCCGACGAGTACCAGTATCCCCTTCTATTATTAGCTCTGTTAGTCCAACTAGGCAGCTGCTAATTAAGTCAATTTCTGTGCTTGGATATACTGTAACATTTAAAACGGGCATTCCAACTCTGCATTAGTCTATAGAAGTACAAAAATAAATAAACACATAGCTAGTAAACATTTTCATGACTACAAAGCTGAAATTAAAGTTCAAGAAGAACATACATTTCAAATGTCAGAGGTAACTGACAACATTTAATCTTCAGGCATGTTTATACACCGATTATGGGTTATTATTTTTACAATGTTCTGCAGGTTAATTCAAATGTGATATCACATACCAAAATTGACTTTGATGGTCTTGCCCAGAGACACAACGACATGCTGACTGCAGTGGGGTCATCAGACCCCACTGCAGTCAGCATGTCGTTGTGTCTCTGGGCAAGACACTTCACCCCAAATTGCTCCTGTGGGGATTGCCCACAGTATTGAGTATGTAAGTCGCTTTGGATAAAAGCGTCTAACAAGTGACATGTAATGTAATGTAATGTAATGATGTATAGGGCTTTCGATTTATACACTTTATGTATGAGATTTGCATCCAGTTCCTGTCCAGCACGCAGTTTTGGCTTGATCAATCTGTTGCCACATGCCATCAGAAGCTCTAGGCTGAAAAGCAGTGGGTAAAATGACAAAAGGTTAAAAAAAACGCACAAGACACATTGAAACGGATCCTCTGACAGTCTGTTTTCCATTTCCTCTTTGATGATGGCAGTCAGAAAAATAAATGAGAACGAACATAAGCAATGCCACAAAATCAAATGTACTAGTATGAATAACTGGCTTAATAGGTTAGGTCCTTTTTTCATTTGAATATAATCACTATATCACAGTTTGGACTGGGACTGGATGATTACATTAAAGTGCTTACCTCACATCAGCTGAGAGTTTTTCTCCAAAGGCATCCCTAATTTGATCAGTGACAGTCCTGTGGTCCCAGGATTTCTGGAATTCAAATCCATTCAATATATGTCCTTGTTCATGCAACTGTTGCTTTGTCCGAAGCTTTATGACGGCAGTGCTGGATGGTCCCGGAAGAAGGATGATGTCTTTGTTGAAAGTCTCATGATAAACTGTTTTGGCCCTACAAAACAAAGCAGATTTTTTATTTTATATTCATTAAAAGATAATAATAATACATTACATTTATAAAGCGCTTTTCCTGGTGCTCAAAGCGATATATCATATATCATAAATAAAGTGTTGTCTTTCTACTGAAAGACAAAACTAGACGGAGCTGGAATACATTAATTATCTTCTTAACTTACAATACAGAAGTGTGTCAGCAATGTGTCCTCACCTGCTCTGTAATGCTTTAGATATTGACCCATACACAACATAGACTTCGATTAACCTCTTCTAGCAAGATTAAGTTCATCAATATGTATGCTGTCCGCTAGCAAGGGAAATGATTTCACATTCCCCACCTTAAACAGATTGGGGACTAATCAACAGCATAGCAAGCTAAAAACATTAGCGTGATAGTTAGAAATATGTAAACTTAAACATTCATCCAACATTTAGTAACGTTAGTTCATCAAGTTGTAGCTCAATATTACAGTAGCATACTTGTCATTGTCCATGGAATTTAAAAGCGTGTGAAGAAAAAAATACTTCAATTTTCTACACATCTCGATTGACATGTCTACAAGTGTTACACAGTTATATTAGTTGTCATTGTATTAATCGGAAATAAAAGCCTTTAAGGTCTATTCAAGGCTTTTATTGTCATGCGTACATAGCTACAGGGTAGTTCTGTCGATGAAAATCTTAGGTCACAGGCTCCTCCAACAGAGCAACACAATAACACAGATACAATAGAGCAGTGTTTCTCAAACTTTTTCATACCAAGGACCACTTAACCAATAAAAAAAACACTCGCGGACCACCTAACTCCACAAATATCCCAAGGCAAGTTTATGTATATAGCACTTTTCAACACAAGGCAATTCAAAGTGCAAAACACATCGTTTTTCTAGAACAGATTATAAATCGCCTGAAAATGGTACAAACAAGTGACAACATGTGTGACGAAGGTGTTGCCCTGGGCTTTATCATGCAATAGAAATTAAGCTTGTTCCATTGCGGAGATATTCCCGCGAGAGTGCGGAAAACTTAAATGTATTTATTTACCACACTTTGAGAAGCACTGCAATAGAGCAACTAAACACAATAAAATAGTGCCATAAGAGTATACAAGTGATACATAATTAGTAATTTATACACAGGTGAATGTTATGGATATTCTTAGTTCAGGTGTTTAACAGTCTTATGGCCTGTCGGATGAAACTGTCCCAGAGTCTGGTGGTCATACACACATTGGTGTGATTATGTGGGTAGAGCAGAGACAGACACGTTGTTTTCAAGGGAAAACACTGCTGTTCCACGGACAATATTGTTATAAAACACCTAAAAAAACCTGCCTCAGCGGCCTTGAAACTTTGGCACCCCGCTGAACGCGCCCGAGCGACGCGCCTCACGTTTACCAGGCGGTAAAGATGCAGCATGTGTACGGCCACTTAGCATGCTAAAGTGTGTTGCTAAATAAGCAAACATACATTTCGAGAAGATTGACAACTTCCATTTAAGTTACAATGTACGTTGTTCTCACCTTTTCCTTGGTCGCGAGTTCCACTTCCCAAAGTGGAGCTGAGTTTGGTATCTCAAAGATCCTCCAGTTTGTCCTCCTTCATCTGCTTGGCCTGCCGAAGCGACTTGGGAGTTGGCAGGTCTGAAAGGTTCTCTCAGCTCACTCTCCACCGCGCTGTGAGAAACGTGCTGCTCCTGTGCCTGTGAGCCTGTCCTCTGCCGCTCAAGGGACGATGACAGGGATGTGACAGTTTCAGGGGTTGACAAAATGTTCCTTAAAACCCCTAATGCTTGCTGCAATCTACGCGATTCATCTCCCTCCATCATGTTATGTTGATTTGAAATCAGAAGTTCTGAACATGAGCCCGCCCCGCTCGACCTTCTGAGCCAATCACAGCGCAAGAATGACCTGCCTTCCGTTTCAACCATACTCCTTCCGTTTCCACTATACTTTCTCTCTCACATACATACATTCTTCTCTTGCATACATATATTATCTTCACACATACATACATTCTTCTCTTGCATACATATATTCTCTTCAGACATGCATATTATAAAATATATGTATGTAAAAGGAGAATGTATGTATGCAAGAGTGAAAATATATGTATGTAAAAGGAGAATGTATGTGCGTGAGAGGACCAGTATGAATTACGGCTTGTACGGCCCCTCATACGCACCAGTTACGTCTATTGTTGTTGTTAGCATCTGTTGCTAGCTAGCGGCGCTAACGGATATAATGAGCTGTCAACAAGATGGAGCAGAGTCCTCTCCTGTCAGACTGAGAGACTGATAACTACAGCTCATGTGAGGTAAAGGACTCTGAGTGTTTAGATGGTTAACTTAGTCTAAGTTATCTCAGTGGGTCTCAAACGGTTTGGTCACCATTTATGTGAACACATATTTCCTTTTGAAGGGGGAGTGATTAGTAAAATAGGCATGAATAATAAAAAAAAAAAATTGTAACTAGGTGAAAAAAGGTAAGATACACTTTAAGAGCTAAAACTAGTCTTTGCTGCTGCCTCAAAGAGGAGCAGGGGGAGAGGAGGGAGACAGGAGAGGCTGATTCAGGAGCACAGACACACTCACAACTATAAATGAACCAAAAACAAATAAATAAACAAGTTTCAATGTTTTTTCATATTGGATATGGTATGTTATTGGTTATGGCCATGTTCTTATGATTTTATGATTATTTAAATGTATACAGTTTTGTTTCATATGGATGTAGTCTCTTTATTTCCCCCTCAAAGTGCACCAGATTGATGCATTTAATTCCAACATTTAAAAAAAAAAAATCTTACCGGGGGAGCATGCCCCCGGGCCCCCTAGAGGATTTGAGGTCCACCTCCACTTACAATATGTTCACATGGATAGGTTCCTAAATAGATTTGCACATTTTTTTTAAATAGTAACCCATGTACATATGTTTATTCTGGGGTAGTAGATTTAAAGTTTAGGGCTATCACTATGGGCAGCAACACTGTAAATATTGACAAATAAATCCAGGAAAATGGCACAAAAGAAAACTGGTAGTGGCCTGACTGGATGTATAATTCCCGGCCTGACTTATTGTCCCAGTCCGGCCCTGTTACCAGCCCCTAATAGTTAAATAACCAACTTTTATCATAAGATAACACTCTTTGGTACATATAAATAAGGTTTTTTGGGGGTTGGTCTCCTAACTTTAATAATGACAGAAAAGTATAAATATACCTTGTGGATTTTTCCTTTCAAATTTCATTTCAGCCTAAATTGTATCAGTGTTTAATTGTATAGTTTACAAAGATGGACAAAGATATTGGAACAAAATGTGCTTTAGTGTATGCTTTGCCTCACCCTGAACATATAAACCAAAGTTGGTGACATTCTGATCCTTATTTCCAGATATACACGTGATAAGGTTGACATGGCCCCCTTCAGAGGAGCCTACATTTTCACTATTTTCGGTTATGGGAAGGTTCCGTACATCAACCAATTTTTTTTATTTTGCAGTAAAATATTTGTATACAACAATCCGTTTCATATATTACAGATATTAAAGTAATGAAAAAACATGGTTGTGCTTTGTTCTACCTCGCGTAGGGTTATCTTGATAACTAAAGCCTTTTTTGGGGGTTTGTTCCTCTACTATTAATGGTCCTGCCCTCAACAGCTCTACGTAAATTATGGGGTGTCATCATATGCCGTTTCCATGGAAACGCATCCCTCGCCATAAAACACGATGTCGCTGTAACTCCAATGGACACGGTCGATCGCACCCCCAAACTTCGCTTGTATATCACCGGTCCATGCCTCAACAGCTTTACGCCAAATCTGAGATCTCACCATACGCTGTTGCCATGGAAACCGCATTCCTCGCCATAAAACACGATGTCGCTGTAGCTTCAATGGACACGGTCCGGTCGCTACGAGTGCCATCTTGAGAGGTTTTGTGTGTAATTGGGGGCAGATGAGGTGCGTGTCAGCAGCAGAGTGAGCGGTGTAAAAGCATCGTAGTTAACCGAAATAAGTTTTAATTTGTTTGTTCACTGCAATAATACCAGGTTCCGGTGCCCATCCCATTTCGGTGCAAGAAATAGTTGCGTCTTCCTCGTCAGATTCCATCGTCATCAGGTGCTGACACTCACTCTAAGCCTTTACTTGGTGGTAGAAGTACAATATTCTAATTATACTCGTGTGTTTCTCTGCTATAGACCACACACATACACTAAACCTGCTCCATGGCTGTATTACTGAGCTGTTGTGTTAATATTAATAAGTTAAAGGACACCTATCATGGTATATTTAAATGATATATTGTAGGGCCATACCTATATAAAGGTATATTTATACGTTTCTGTTTTCAAAATACCAAACGGATCATGCATTTTAGCCATGCCTCATTTCGCTCTATTTGCTGTTCTCCAGCCCTGTTTTTGTGAGCTGCAGCTGACCACGCCCCCCTGCAGGAGACTTCTATCAAGTCAGAAGAGGGGGAGAAAAATAGATCTCCATCCTCCGTGTTTTATTATAGTATTATATAGAGTCTTATTCATTTGTTTAAAGCTCAATAAATAACAAAGAAGACCTTTGACCGGCACTTTTCTAATTTTGTCCGGAAGATTTAAACTTTAACGGACATCTTGACCGGCGAAAGAAACCTAACTGAAACTCTGCCGAACGGTCCCCTCGTTCCTTGGAAGAGGCGGAGAGGTGGGTGTTTGTCATCTACTGGTGGACTAACCGGAGAGAATTACAGTGCTTGCCTCGGACGGGGAGGGATTGCATTGAATTACAGCAGCGGGAGCAAACGCTTGCCACAACGGAGAATAAACAGAAGGGCAACCATGGCAACCATGCGCGGGAAGTCTTCTTTGCTGCTTTTGTGGCAGACTACAGCGCTACTTACAGGCCTGGCATATGTACTACAGCGTCTCCAGGGTTTTCGAGCGCAATGGCCGGCCGTGGCCCAACCTCTCATTCCCCTGATAGGTGGAGAGTTGGCCCAATAGCCGTAGCGCCACCGTCCTGACGTCAGGATAGTGTTCAAATCTGGATCAGTTTTTATCAGATCCGTTGCAGCCTCTTTTTTAGAGATTTGGGTATGGAGGAAGATACAGAGGGTTGTGTTTTCTGACACTTGGTGAGTTCCCTGGAACAACGGGGACACATATTCATGTATAAAAGACATACAAAAGTGCATTTTGCATGATAGGTCCCCTTTAAGGAAATAAACCGCTACCAAGAATCTTGTGTGTTCTTACCGACACCCCAAAGTGTAAGTCACTCCGAGTGAAACCTTCCCCTATACCAGGGGTAGCCAACACGGTGCCCGCGGGCACTCAGTCGCCCGCAGGGGCAACATGAGGCGCCCGCCGGGCACGTTCTAAAAATAGCTCGCCAAGCAAATCCAAAATGTATAAAATACACAAAACAATAAAGGAAATGTAATTAAAAGAATCTACCCCATGCATAAACGAAACCTAAATCATAGCGAACTCTATCTACTTACTACAACTCTATATCTATCTAACACCCCTCCTCCCCCCACCCCCACAATGAATATCGACCAATCACGTTCTTGCTTGATTTGCGGGACCAGCGTTGCAGTCGGGAAGAAAAGCAATGTGGCACCTCCCCGCTGATTTTCCTTCTGGCAGAATCTACACAACACATCAGCCCATTAAACAGCCCATCATGTGAGGAATTGAGGGAAAATTGAAGTAACTTGAAAGTTTGATACAGCGTATTTTTGGTATATTCATCTTAATGTCCCCTGATATATAAGAAGTGTGTTTTTATATATTCATGTGTGTATGCATTACAGGAGCCATAAGGCTGTATAATAACTGCTCAATTATACTGGTGTTTGTGTTTTATATTGATTTCTCTGCTTTATTCTTTCATAAATGTGAGGACTAAAATTGCTCCAAGCATTGTGGGGTGCAGGTTTGCAGGACAGGAGACTAGATGGGGGGGAGGGGAGCCAAGAGGGAAGTCTGAAGAATGTGTGTGTGTGGAAGCTGCAGGAATACGAGCCAGATGTGTTTGTTTTGCTTTAAACTAAAAGACTGTTTCCGGATCATCTCGGCTGGCACGCGCTGATACGCTACGAAAGCCCATCGTTTATCTACGGGCCAATAGATTACCTCTATGGGGGTAGCATCCACACAGCTCCTCCCTTGTTTTTACAATATCTCCTGTCGAGTCCTGGTGTTCGCTCTCTTTTCCTCCTGCCGTCAAGACGATGAGGTTCTCCCGGCATTTGGACCAGAGCAGGGGCTGGGCCCACCCCTTTGAGAAGTGTATTTGTATTCTTACCGTTTATCATTAAAACAGATTATTGTTTAACCCCTATCCTGGTTGTTTTGGGTTTTCCTTCTTTTAAAGCAAACTCATATAGGATCGGCGCGGAGCAGAGATATCTGCTCCAACACATGCCAGCCTATATAGCACATGAGGGGCAGAGTTTTACTGTGTGTGTTGCAACTTGCATATTTATTTATTGCACTTGACGCACACACACGCATGGCGTAATCTCCACTGGGGACAGGGGGGACATGTCACCAGTTCTTTTCGAAATCCCGTTTGTGTCCCCCCACATTACAAATATGTGTTTTTTTTTTTTTTTAACGCAAGCCGTCATCGCCACGGAGGAGCACACAACCTGTGTGTGTGTGAGTGCACCCCTTTATCTATTTAATATAGATAAAGTAAGAAATCATTCCAATGTGTACAATAGGACAGTACAAAAACAGTTTAAAAGGGGAGTGATTAGTAAAATATGCATAAATAAAAAGAAATAATGCTAACTAGGTAACACAAGATAAGAATAAACGAGTTTAAATGATTTATTATTGGTTGTGATCATATTCCAAAGATGTTTGTTTCTTGAAAAGTATACAGCTCCCTTTCATCTGAGTGTTGAGAGCTGTATCCATAAATTCA